ACTTTAAAAATTTACGCAGATAATTATACTTATCGTACACCTTTGATTAGAAATCCACCTTCGATCTATATCCACAAAGCCATCACTACAAGGGAAAAAGAAAAATTATCCATGTTCCCAACTGCCAGAGTGCTCCTGCTGAGTTCAACGGCTGCAGGAGGGTGACAGAGGGGCGGTTGCAGGAGGACGGAGGAAAGGGACCGGCTGATGCTGGGGAAAGGGACATTTGCTACCGGAGGAAGAAGCATAAGCTCAGACACGAAGGTGATGAGGAAAGAATCATTGGGGGAGGCTGGGCAGAGTGCAGGGAGTCTGAGTGACAATCTGAAAGAGCCGTCTGAGCGAACTCTGGATTTTCATTACAGTAGGTGTGTGCTAATAGAACAGAATCTAATGTGACACAATATAATGTACCACACAGCATCTGGGAGCTATTATGAATGTGCGGCAACAGGATAAAATCAAGAACAACAAGTTTTCCCAAATAATACTGAAGCAGTAATTTTGAGAGCAAGGCTCTGCTGGACTTGACACACCCTTCTGGTGGAGGAGGAAAATTGTTGGAGAAAACGCTAAATAAAGAGCCTCTAAATGGATTTTTGAAAAAGGCAAACAGGAAGAACCAGCTGGCAACACGTGGGAAGATAAAAGGGTGAGACAAATTAACATGTGGGAGAGAATTTTTTTAAAAGTAAGATACAATAAACAACCAGAAAAAAAAGATGCTGGCATGTCATTACCACAGAGAAAGGAATTACGAGCACATTCAGCAGCACAACTGCATTTTGCTGCTTGTGCAAGCAAAGGCTCAGGCTCCAGCCTGTCCCTCTCCCCGGCAGCAGCACCTCGCACACGCAGCAGAGGGGCTGTGAAGGGTGCTTGCCGGCTTTGCTGCTCACTGTGCAGCTCTTTTTCTTTTTTTTTTTTAAATGAAGCATGGGATGGCGTTTGACAACCAACCTTAGACAGAGGTGTAACACGAAGGCTTCCACCATGAAGCTTCAGGGGATATGGGGAGTCTTACAGAGTGTCCGTTCCCAAGGACAGAAAGAGCCGCGACGTTTCCAGAATGCCCCCACGGGCGATGCTGGACACCAGCCCGGAGCCCAGGGCTGCAGGCACCGGCCATGCGCTGGTGTGGTGTGTGAACTGTAATTTCTCTAGAAAAGTCTATTTTATAAAACACGCAGGCAGGCACAGGCTCACTCAGGCACAGGGACTATCTGTGGGGTTTGTATTTTTGTTTACTGGCTTGTGTAACATCTGTAAGAATTCTGCAGACGAGTAAACTACCGCTGTGATCAAGCAGCAGGTTTCTCAGCTCCGTGCACTGAATAATATCAGTTAAACTGCCACTATGAACCACATATTGGAAGTTTATTGAAATTAAAAGACTTCTAAGTACAAGTATGAAATGAAGGCGATGAGAAGCCATGCTGGGGGGGTGGTGGGAGGCCCCCACCTCAGCTGTTGTAGCACGGGATGGTGTCTGAGTGCAGGCGGCACCTGAACGCTCCAGTTCTGCTCGGCAGGTTCTGCTCTGACCCGTGCGGCTCTGCCGGCAGGGACCGCAGGCTGAAGCCTTGTTTTTCCTCCTGACCTGCGCTGCACTCCGCTGTCCATGCAGGAGGGAAACTGCCGGGGTTTCCTTCACCCATCAGCATCCCAATCTGTCCCAGGACAAATTCTCCTGGTCTCTCCTTTGCCGTGATAATCAGCCGTGCCTCCAGAGATGCAAATGCTGGGGCGGCCGGCTGAGCTGTCATTGTCTGGCAGGTGCCGGAAGGAAACGAACACCCTTCGCGGAATGAATCGGGGAAGATGGTGAGCTTCAGTAGGAAGCAATCCGGTTCTGTTCACCTCCATGTTCTGCTGAACTGGAGCAGAACTGCTGCTCCCTGACTAGCAAACGTTCTGAGGTGGCTTGAAGATGTGAACAGTCAGCAAGAAAGAAACTGAAAGAGAGCAATCACCCGGGTCTCTGAGGCACAGGTAAGACCCAGGATCAGGCTGTTACCAACTCACCGGGATAATTATTTCAGTTGCCTCATAGGAATTTTCCTAAACATGGTGGTATAAACCAATGAGTCACTAGCCAGAAAAAAAATCATGGTCTGCATTTGAAAGATGGGAGCATGAGGTCTGGAGCCAGCTCAGTATCACATCAAAGAAGGGTTTAATAAGTGATGCCTAGTGGCTGTTATGTAAATCATTAATGGTAATTACAAGCGACAAGATAAAATCATCTTCCAGTGTGGTTGCACAAACATCACTGAAGCAATGCTTATGAAAGCAAAGTTGTGTCAAATGAGACACACCCTTCTTGTAGTTGACACAAGAAAACATTATCAGCTTTGATAAGTGGAGTGAGCAGAGCGCGGAGGAGACGGGCTGACACTGTGCAAAAGGGCTGTGCCCAGGGACAGCCACAGCCCCCAGGACCAAACCCCCAGCCCACAACGGCACCGGAAAATGGGACATCTCCTGCCTGCTCCTGAGCTGCCCATCGCCACGCGTCACTATTTACACGTCTTGCCTCTTTGTCCACTTTCACACCTCTCTGCTTTTCCACGATGCCCACGAGGCTCAGCAGCGTCTGTGCTGCCGCTGTGCTGAGCCCCTGCCCAGCCCTGGCTGCCAGCCTGCCGTGGCTTCCCTCACCCCCACCTGTGTGAAACCCTCGGCGTCCTCCTGTTTTACGCTCAGGTTGTCATTTTTATGTCCCAGACTCGCACAGTCCTTTCCTGCACAGCGTTCTGCCCCAGGGCTGTGCCCCGAGGCTCCAGGAATACAACTAACAACAAAGGTGGAGGGAAAGGGATCAGGGTAGTGGGAAAAAGGTTGCTACCGATGGATGCTTCGGAACAAGGCGGTGGCTCACAGCTGGAGCAAGCAGAGCCCCACAGCCAGCAACCACACACACCCCTAGACCTATTCCTTCTTCCTATCAGGTAACTGTTGAAGAAGCAGGTGTGGGTGCTCCTTGCCCACCCTCAGAGAAATGTCCGATATCTGCAGTGTCTCCTCCTAAAGCCGAGGCTCCGAAAGGGAGAGAAAGGCAACCTCAGCCCAGAGCACCGCTCTCCGCAGATCGCTGTTGGGTAACCTCTGAAAACCTACACAGCAGGAGCAAAGCTCCAAGCAATCCAGACATTATATTAATTTCTGCTGGCTCTTACGGCCACACCCTGTCTTCAATTAGATTCCTCAAAATGGAAGATGAAAGGCAGATTTACTCCCTATCCTGCTTTTTGCTCCTGATTTTCACTATTGCGACTCTCGGCTGTGTGGGGAGTACGGGGGATGTGTTTCTGGGGGGAGGATGATCCTGTATTTCAGGCACCGCCGTCTCCGCTGGGAACCTGCGCCCTGACAGACGCCGGCGCTGTCCTGCAGCGAGTTATTTCCCTGCACCACACGAATAATGAGTATTCCGGGATGCCGCCAGCCTTGGGTAGGCGTCTTTTTATCATTTCTCATCTAAGTAAAGAAATAAATTATCTCACTGGAGAGCGGAGAGTCCTAACTTAGGCTGGGGAGAAGATGAGCCCACGTCTATGTGCTTGGGGACACTCTGTGGCCACGGTGACAGAAGCCACCTCGCTGCCAGCAGGTGAGCGGTGGCTGCACGTGTGAGTGTCGCTTTCTCTGCCGGAGGTGACGGCTGCTCGCGGGGCCTCCTGTCCGGCGTCACGCTCGCCGCCAAAGAGGATTGATCACAACTGATGCTGTAAATAGGGAACTATTGGAGGCAGAGGTTACTTGTGAGTAAGAGCCGCTTGGGAATTCCGCCCTGTAGGGAACAGCAGGCTCCGTCCCCTGCAGAGCAGACTGTCCTCTCATGGCAGCCGGCTGCTGGGGGGATTCCTGCACTGGCTGAGCCCGTTCTCCGACCGCTCTGCTGGCTGCTGCTCGCTCGGTGCTGGAGATCGTGCTCCCAGGGCCAGCCAGGCTGTGCTCATACCCGATACTACTCTGAGAAGCTCAGTTAAGAAATGCAGAAAGCTTTTCTCCTTGTTCTGTGCTCAGCACAACCTGAGTAATGGCAAAGACCTGCGGGATCCCGTCCCAGTCCCTCCAGGGAACTGGATCTATCGCCCGTGGATACTCCCTTTCCTGTCCGCTCGCTCTCTATCTGCGATTACCACAAATTGAGGCAGCATGGACAGCAATTAAAGTAATTGCAAAACACCTCCAGAGAGGTGCCTCACACACCAGCTCGCATCGAGTCCGTGTGACATCGGGACACGGAGGAACAGGGACCTCCAACGTGCAGCAGGCCTGAGCTCGGCAGGCTGCGAGCGAGCTGACTCCTTGTGTTTGCATGAGCAGAGAAACAGAAGCCACCAGTGGGGAACTAAACCCACGGGGAATTACCTCTGGGATGTAAGAAATCTCACAATAAAGCGGGTGTTGGACATTGTGGCAGGTGACAGACATGGGCACCACGATATCCCTGGTCTCTTCTCTGCTACGGTCACTATTGTTCACTTTTCAGAAGTGAGGATTTATATTAATTTCCCATTTTTGTTCCACATACTCTACCATAGCATGTGATATAAAAATGTTTATTGGACTAAGAATAAAATAAATACAAATTAATAAAAGATAAAAGGCACTTTGATGTTATAAATACCAATGTTTCTTCTTTGTACATAATCTAGGGCAACTTTTTTTCTTGACTTGTTGTAAAGTTTGCATCATACAAAAAGCTGATGACTCATAAAACATTATTTTACTTTTTGGAATAAGCTGCTGACATGTAAAGTATCTTCCTTGTGAACTGGGATTTCTAGAGGGAAACTGCCTATGGGCTGTTTATTCTTGGCATAAACAGCGAGACTAGCCAGCCCCGTGGGAAGAAGAAACACCCTACAGGTGACACCCCCTTGGGAAGGTATAAATAGGGATCTGCGGCACCAGCCAGCCTGCAGTCTGATTCAGTATCAAGCTGTGCATCTTGCTTTGGGCTTTGGCTTGGATCTGCAGCTGGCCTCAACATGAGTTGTAGTATTAAGCAGACAACGGGCTCTCTCAGGGGCAGGACCAGCGGGGGCAGCTGTGTTATCGGTGGCGGTGGTGGTGGTGGAGGAGCACGCATCTCCTCAGTCTCCTCCGGAAGATACACGACTTGCGGGATAGGTGGTAGCCGGGGGTTTTCTGGTAGAAGCTACTGTGGTGGTGTGAATTACGGAGGAGGACTGAGCACTGGCAGTTTGGTTGGTGGAAACTATGGAGGCAGCTTAGGAGCTGCTGTCCTCGGAGGATGCTCGGGCATTGGATTCAGCGGTGGCAGCGCTCGCTTTGGCGGTGGCATTGGAGGTGGCCTTGGTATTGGTCTTGGTGGAGGGGTAGTTGGAGGTGGTTTTGCTGGTGATGGCATTCTTCTTTCTGGTGACGAAAAGGTCACCATGCAGAACCTTAACGACCGCCTGGCTTCTTACCTGGACAAGGTGAGGTGCCTGGAACAAGAAAACGCTGACCTGGAGTGCAGGATCAGGGAGTGGTATGCCAAGCAGGGCCCTTTTTGTGAGCCCCGGGACTACAGCTGCTATTACAAAGAAATAGAAGATCTTCAAAATCAGGTAACACCATTTCTCAGCTGCTTTCTCCCTTGTAAGCTTCTCCCATGGTGCTGGTTCACAGCTTAACGCAGTAACCAAGAGTAACATTGCGTTGTTGTGAAGTGCTTTTTGTAAACAGCCATTAAGGTATCTGCCTGCAGAAACCTGAGAGCTCAAAGGTAAAAACTCTGAGTGTTTGGACTGTTTCCATTGCTTTTATTCATCAGATATATTGGATGGGGAAAATGTTATGTTCATGGAGTACATCTGGATTGGCTCAGTAGTCTCTGTGAATTAGGTTAGCGCCAAGGTGTTTAAATAGATACATGCCAAGAAATCCACTAAAAGAGAAATAAATAATGGATCGCATTGATTTGCCTGAATCTATTTTACTCTGTCACCAGTCTTGCAGAGTTCCAGTTAAACATGATTTCTTCTTTTTTTTTACAAGTTGACTCCTTCGTACAGAATTGGGAAATATAGGACACCTAATTAAAAACAAGAACAAAGAGAGCACTGCCATAACACATTCTGAGTATGCAAGTTGAAATTAAAAGCATTTGTTTGCAAAGTGTGTTTGGCAAAAATCCTAGGATTACAAAGAAGAATAAAGTGAAACGAATCCAGGAAACAGACAGAACGAGACAGACTTATAATTAAGTCTTGAAACAAAGCTTTTAAATCTCTTATCCATGAAAGCAAGATTTCGATTTAAGAGGTTAGGTGGCTTGTGGCAGGTGCTGGACAACATTAACTGCCCCTCCCTAGCCATGGGCTCCTCAGACACGTATTGGAGCACTTTAATGCCTCCACCGCACTTCAGCGAGCGCTCACCCCTGCGATCGCCACGCTCCTCACCTCCCCCATGCCTGCCACCCAGTATTAAAACAAAAAAAAGAGAGACAGAGAGAGGTTAGGACTAGCAGTGGGTGCCCTTCAGCCTGAGGACAGAGGGAAGAGACTTGAGGAGTGAACGTTGTTTTTCCAGATTGTCTGCGCAACCATAGACAACAACAAGATCATTCTGAACATCGATAACAGCAGGATGACCGCCGACGACTTCCGAGTGAAGTGAGTGCCCCTTGGTGTCCCCCTCCTCCGTCACTGCAGCCCTGCGCTCAGACAGGTCCCTGGGACCCTCTGGGCAGGACAGGCTGGAGGTGACCGAGCAAAGCTCCTCCGTCCCCTGCCTCCGGGAGTGGCAGTGCCAGGACGGGCGTTTGGGAGGAGGAGGTGGTTTTGTGCGGAGATGAGAGTTCTTCAGAGGGGCTGCGCAGGCGGGGAGCAGCGTGGGGTCCCCTGAGCCACCGGGCTGGCACGCGGTGTCTGCCAAAGGGGAAGGTTTTGGTTTTTCGTGTTGGAGCGCAGAAGCGTGGTGACACCTCCGCCCTGGTCAAAAAGCTCCAGGGAAGGCGGATGAGGGCAGATCAGACAGAGCAAGCCTCAGACTGCCTTCCTTAGCATCCCGTGAGGCTGTTGGGAAAGTACTGTGAGAGAGATGGAAAAGAGCAAATGGTGGGGTCGGACACTGACGGCTCTGCCTTGCTTTCGTTCTCGCCGGCAGGTACGAGA